TCTCCACACAGGATGAGTGCTCATGGGTACTCATGTGTGTCCTCGGGGAGAGGAGTGAGGGTGAGGTGATGGGTGTGCCTGTGGACATTATCTGCATGAGGGTGTGTCCCTGTGCATGTCAGCCTTTGGGAGCAGCTATCTACCCATGTTTCTGTCCTACCAACACGCTGCCTGACAACTTCCAGCTTCGAGGGACACTAGCCAGGGCAGTGACTAGTCCTTGCTCTTAAAGCACTGCCCCCACCCTAGGATGGCCCTTCCTCACACTCTGGACTCAAAGCCTGCTCTGCCTGAGGGGGAGGCCCCCCCTTGAAAAGTGGGGTGACCAAGGAGTCCCAGACAACCCCATGTTATTTCCTGTTGCCATGGTTACCAGGAAAGAGGAGGGTGCTGGGCAAGACAGCACTATGGGCCTTGCCCTCTGGGCTTTGTGCAAATGCAGCCTTTCCCACATAGAGCCACAGACACACTTTCTGAGACACCCCAAAACTTTAGTCACAAACTGTCCTTTTAAGCCTCCTTTGACCAGAACTTTCTATCCAGCCTTCCTGTGGAGGCTGTCACCCCCTTAGCTACAGTGTCGCACATATACACACACTCACACACATGCTCACACACAGCTCTCTGTGGCTGGTGCAGGGCTCTTTGCTCCACCCAAACTCCACGTCCAGGTAGCTCCCAACCCCATCTGGGGGCTTACTGGGGACAGTTAGGACCCAAACAAGGCTCTTCAGAGCCCTGAATCCAGGAATCCCTGAATCCAGAATTCCCTGAATCCAATCAAGACACAAGGACCCTCTGTCCCATCAGCTCCCCTGTCCCTGATCTGGACTCACCCCAAGGCCCACATCTCATCTGCCTAGCCTGCCTCTCCCATCTCCCACAGCTAAATGGTGTTTTCATCTGCTGCAAATAAACAGGGCAGGGTGAGGGCCCTGACATGGCCTCCCATAGCCCCTGTGCAGCAGCTAAGGCCAAGCCAGCAGGCACTTAAGCCCTGCCATTAACCCATGGGGGACAGAACAGATGTGCTGAACTCTGAGTGCTAGCCCCTGACGACCTCTGTCCGAGGCACCTGGGGCTCCTATGAGGGAATTCAGAGTGTGTTCTACTGAGGCTCCACTACCTGTGCCCCTGAAGACACCCCCCTACCAGCCCAGACCTATAGGAGCATGCAGGACCATGCGGGAGTCCTGATGGGGCCCTGCTGCGCATTGTGGGGAGCTATCTGGACTGCCACAACAGGCCACAGCCTACAATGACCGCTGAGGAATTCCAGGCTAAGGGCTCCAGCAATTCACCCACACTGGGACAGTTCTGCTCCCTGGGAGAACTTGCCTGGCCCCTGCCTGTGCTGGCTGCCATAACCTGGCCACACCACTATCTGAGAGAGTCCTGCCCAGTCCTTGTCCCTGCCAGGGTGGGCACCTCAGTCCTCCTTCAGGCCCCTCAGAATGGACAGGAAGCTCCTGCATGCTGCCATGGTTTTTGAGCAGTTTGGGAAAGTGTGGGACCACAGCTGACCAGGACTCAGGCCTCTCAGAACCCTCTCCACATCGCTGGCTGAGTCAGGGAAGCTCAGACATTCCCAGGGCCTATTTTTGGCTTCGTATCTCATGGGACCCCATGTCTGCGTGAACAGACAAGGGGTAGGCCTGCTGGGCCTGTGCAGGGGTGGGGGAGGGGAGATGGAAGCTGTCATTTCCCAGAAAGGCTCACTGGCCTGAGCAGCACCTCCAGGGTCCAGGCGGGGGACCATCGTGTTTCTGAAGTCCCTCGCTAGCCCTGCTCCCTGACCTGTGTCCATATTCTGGCCAGAACAGGGTGCTCCTGTAGCTTCCTCAAGACTGGGCCTGGTGCCCTAATCTCTTGAGTGGGCAGAGAAGCCTACAGCCTCACTGACCAAGCAGCTGGGTAGAACTGGCATTTTCACCTGGCCATCCTGGCCCCTAGCCAGTTCTCACCCACACCTCCCACTCTCACCCCCACTCCCACACTTGATGGTCTCTAGATACCAAGGCCTCCAGCTACAGAAACCCTCTGGGGACTCGTCAGCCGGCTCTGTGCCCATGTCCTCCCAGGACTGAAGCAAGTTCTCAGAGGCTGGGTTGGGTGTGGTCAGGGAGCGCCAGAAGTTGGTGGAAGCTGGAAGGGACGGGGGGGCTCCAAGGGACTGTTTCAAGGGTCACTGTGGGTACAGTAGGCTAGAGGATCTGGGCCCTCAAAGAAGTGGGGGTACCTGGATGGTGGACCGCATGCCTGCAGAGATGCAGACAGAAACCAGGTCTGCTAGGGTGAGTTTCAGCCAAAAGACAAACAGGGAGGCCACAGGGCCAGGTAAACCGCTTTGCTTAGCAGAGGGTTGGGGATGGGGGTGTCTGGCCTGTCTGGTCTCCAGGGGACTTGGGAGTTCGAGGATTTGGTTCCCAGGGGCTCTGGTGGGGGGAGGGGGCACAGTTCTTCCAGGGTGGAAGGGCGCCGTCTTGCAGGGAGAGGCAGTGAGGGCAGGACATGCCCGGGGACAATGGCTTGTTTTCCCCCAGTGCCTCCATCAAGGGGGAGTCAGGAATGCGGACACTCCAGGAAGCACCTGGCTCCCAGCCCGAGGGGAGGGGACGTGGGGTGCTCCTGATGCGGGTAGCTGCTGAGAGCACAGGGTGCCTGGCCTCTTTGCCTGGGCTGACGCAGCCCAGCGAGGCAAACAGTAGCGGCAACCCGCCCAGGTTTCCATGACAACCCCGGGAAACAAACAGAGGCGAGTCACCCTCTGCCCGCAGGAAATAGAGCTGGCCCTCCCCAGCCGGATCTGGGGTGCCGCTGTCTCTGGCCAGCCCAAGGCTAGGTTTCTTCATGTCTTGAGGGTACCACTCTTCCCTCAGTTCCAGTAGTCAGCCATCAGGATCTTCACACTCACAGAGCTGCAGCCAGCACCCTGCGTGCAGTCCACCACCGTCTGCTTCACTGGAGGCTCCCAGGGGAGGCATCCCCCTGGCCCCCGCCTCCAGTCTCCACTTCCACTGGCAGCAGGAATTTCCCACCTGGAGCTCAGCCAGGGGTTGGGATGCGGCATCTGACTCCCAGCCAGGAAGCTCTGGCCACGCTGGCATGAGGGTGACACAGGGAGTCACCCTTCCTCTGAGCCCACTATCTTGGCCCCAGTACCTGGACCAGTCTCCCCTCTGCCTGAGCTCCAAACCCTGACCCACAGTCCAGCCGCTAGCTGGGGTCCTGGATCTCCCAGCCTTGCTGTGCAGCAGGGCTGGCTGTACCCACCCCCAGCCCAGATGGCAGCACACAGGGCAAGGGGCCAGGCATTCAGACATAAGCTCCATCTGAGGCTGTGTGGCTGGGATGTGGAGCAAGAGTGCAGGCAGTTGGATGGGGAGGGGGCCCGCGCCCACAGCGCCCACAGCTGCACTAGCAGAAGGCTGTCCTGGGCTCAGAGAAACAGAACAAGAACTGCTGTGTGGGGCAGAGGACACGGACCTTCTGAAGCAGGCTTGAGACTCTCCCTCAGGATGGGTGTCTTGAGGGTCATCCGGACTTATGGTGCAGGAGTTGGGGAGCACAGAAACCAAGAGAAGGTTCCAGACAGGCACAGAACAGAAAAAGGAAGCCTCTGGTCCAGGGCCTGTGAGAAGGGCACCCTCTGGTGGGCAGCTAAACAAAGGGAAAGCAGACAGCCTAGAAGGCCAGCAAGGGCCAGCAAGCCAGTGTTGGCTGATGCTGTTCTGGCAAGAGCTCCCAGAAAGGGATTTGAACCTCAGGCTCTGACCCTCATGGCCCTCAATGGAAAGAGGACACACTGACAGAGCGTCCACATGAGCTTCCAGGGAGCAGTGGGAGACCACACGGGTGAGCAAACTTCCTCCTGACTGGACCAGGCTCTCCTGGGCCCCAGCCCTTCCCTCCACGTGGGTGGACACATCTCCCTCACAAGATGCGCTTTGGGGTGGAATGTCCTGTCCCCTCAGCCCCTCACTGCTCTGGAGGGTGCCTGATGTTTAGGGGAGGGGATAGTGCAGATCAGCCCGATGTGTACCACCTCTCGAGGCCCTTAGCACACCCACCCCACAATTCAGTTTGCTTTCCTCTGTTGACCTTTTCCCCTCCCACAACTGGCCAGGATCTCTCAGGACACCTGCCAGCCCCTTTCCTACCCCACTCACACCCTGGGTCCCCCTACCCATCCCGCCTCATTGCTGGCACCATAGCCAAAGCTGACTCCAAGCCAGTCCTAGCTGCTCCCTCCTTCCCGCACCATAAAAAGGTCTCTGGACTCTCCCCTACCCCATCACCCTTAGGTGCAGACCCCACATCCATGAGGAGCCAGGCACAGGGTGTCAGGAATACCACCTTGGACTCTTGTCCATCCCACAGCCAGAGAGACAGCCACGAGGGTCTACAATTCTGACTCTTTATTGACAGCAGAATTCTGGGCAGTGTCTGACTACATGAGAGCTGCAGTGTGGCAAGTGCCAGGGAAGAGGGCTCCAGGCTGGGTACACTGCTGTGAGGGGTGTGGCCCAGGGGGAGCATAAATAACACTGGTGGGCAGGCCAGAGGTGCGGGCAGGGAGAGTGAGAAGGCCACCTTTGAGACTCATATTTGGGGCACAGGACACAGGGGGACACGTGGGTACATAAGGGATGTGGCATGAGAACACAGGACATGTGGGGTCAGGGAGGACACAGGAATGCACAGACATAGGATGCATGGGGATACATGCAGAACAGGTAGAGAACCTGGGAATACAGACACAGGGAAGGGTTGGAGAACAAAAAGCAACACACAAGGGTAACGGGAACTGAGTCAGAACGGCCAGGGCTGGTGGGCCAGGTTGTTGGCAGCACGGGTTGGGTCTCGTCCCCCACACTCACACCTGAACTCTCAGGTGTGACAGAATGAAGGTAGCATCCCATGCTCCCCAAGAAAGGCAAGCAGTGGGCCCATTGGGGGCCAGCAGGAACAGGGGCAGGTGCCTGAGGGGAGCAGCCTGCCTAGGGCTGAACTTTGCCCTCGGGGTCCCGGTCATAGATGTAGCTGCCCACTGCCCCCGTGTTGACGCCTGTGGAGAAAGACAGGAGGAGTGATAAAGAGAGCACACAGGGGTACTTTAAACCTGGGGACCCCAGGGGTACACTCACCTTTGGGTCCGAAGAGTATTCCATAGCAAGGCTTGTGGCAGTAGGGCTGGCCATCGTGCTGGGGGTGAGGATGAGGGGCTGAAACAAGATCCACTGCCCGCCCCACCATGTGCCCCAGGGGCTCCCTCTTCTACAAAGGCAACGTCAACATATGCCTATTTCCTGGGCTCATGCCCCACAGCTACCTATTGTCCACTCTCCAGAGCCTCTAGGCTTCTGCGTGCCAGTGCCCACGCCAGTCACTAGAGGGCAGCCCACCGGGCATGACACTTCCCCCCAGGCCTCCCTGGAACCCAGGGTCCTGCCCCCCACCCAGGCCCCAATCCCCATCTAGGTCCCTACACCTGCCTCTACTTAGGGCCCTGTCCCTCCCTACCCAGGGCCGAGCCTAGGGCCCTCCTCAGGTCTCCACCCACCCTTCCCCCACCCCCAACTTCTCCAGCCCCAGCATGACCATGCAGTCCCATCCACCTCCTGCAGTGCCCTCCAGGCCACGTATCTCTGTGCCCACATCCTCCTGACCCCTCCACCTTCCCCACGCAGCTTCAGGCCCTCACCTCAGCATGCCCACCAGGGGTCAGCGTCTTCCCACAGCGCTCACAACGCAGACAGGGTCGGTGCCAGTCCTTGCCCAGGGAAGTTACCTTTTCAGCTAGGATGGGGCAGACAGAGAGGCTGACCCCGCCTCCTCCACCCCTGTGGAAGCTACGGGAGCTTGGGGCAGACCCATAACTCACCGAAATAGACTCGCTTGTTACAGCGGGGGCACATGTTGGGTTCCCCCGTGAAGGTCGTGACGCTAGAAGCTGGGGGTGGGAGGCAAGTGAGGCCAGGTAGGAGAGGCAGAGGCGACCCCAACTACCCCATAACACACACCCAGCCTGGCCCACCTCTGCTGGGACCTTTGGGAGGGCCGCTGGCCTTGCGTTCCTCGGCTCGGGCCACGGGGACCTCAATGGGACCAGTGACTTGGGGCCCTTCAGCTGCCGGTTTCTCATAGATGTAGGAGCCTGCACCACCGATGTTCACACCTGTAGGTCGGGAGTGTGGACAGGGCCTTCACTCAGAGGTCTCAGAACCCAGCCAGGTCAGGTCAGGACCCGTCCCTGAGGAGAGTGCCTGTAGTCAAGTAGAAAGGCTGCCCAGGAAGGGCCCAGCATGGGCAAAGGCTCCTATGGGGAAGGGGCTAGTCGTCAGGGCACAGAGCCCTGAGAGAGGGCATGAGGCTGAATTTGGAGGGCAGCACCCAAAGGCCACCCTGGGACACATAGCCGGCACAGGCCTGGAACTTGCTGCCTCTGACCTGTAGTGGAGCATTTGCCTAGCAGAGCCAGTCCTGGTGCAGGGGCACAGGGATGTGTGTAGGGCATGAGGCCCTGCTCACCTTTGGGTCCAAATAGCGTGGCGTAGCAGGGCTTGTGACAGAAGGGTTTTCCATCATGCTAGAAAGAGGGAGTTGGATTGAGGGGCACGCCCACCACTGGGGCCTTTCTCAAAGGCACCTTAGGCCCCACCTCCTGCCTGGGGAAGCAGGGAGCCACGGACCTGGGCCTCCCCACTGCCGCTAGTCCCCTTCCTGACTAGACCCAGGGAGAGCTCACCTCAGCATGGCCTCCTGGAGTCAGCGTCTTGTTACAGCGTTCACACTTAAGACAGAACTTGTGCCAGTCTTTGCCCAGGGAGCTCACCTTCTCAGCTGGGGGGAAGGAGAGAGTCAGGGCTGGACCAGCACCCAAATGTGCACCCCAAGCCGTGACAGCAGCTGGCGGTCAGCTGAGCATCCCTGTGGTCAGCCCTAACCATTCAGTGGGGCAGCCTGCCCTGGGCCCACACCGCCCCATACCTCTCTACTTGGAGAGACCATTCTCTCCAGGCCTTGCTGGCCCTGTCCAGGCCCTCTCGGAGTCTGGAAAGAAGCACATGCAAGCTTCTAGTATCTTCAAAGGCCATTTCATGACTTTTCACAACAGCTGCCTTGTTCACACCTGCCTCCCTCAAACACCTGTTTCACGTGTCTCTCCCTCAAGCCTATCTTACTATTTCTCCTCCTCACACCTGCTTCTCTTACATCTGTTCCTCCTCACATTTCTTTCACATCCCTCCCTCCCTCACAAATTGCCTCACATTCACATACCTGCCTCCTTACCCACCGGATTCCCTCCCATACATGTCTCTCCCTAGATACCTGCCTGTTTCACACACCTGGGGCCTTTACACACATCAGCTCCCTTCATACTCACCTCCCTCCCCCACATGCAACTGTCCGTCCATACATACCTTCTCTGTACCCCTGCCTCACGCCCACACACATCCCACTCTAATGTGTGTGTCAGGCCCTAATGAAGCAAATGGGAGTTCCTGCAGAGACCTGAGATCAAGCATGGTCTGAGCCTCCAGAATGGCCTATGAGGAAGTCAAGCCAAGTTCAGACAGGACCTGCCCATCCTTGTGCCACTAAGGCCTCGCAGGATCCCAGTCTAAATTTAGCTCCTTCTTCTGGTCCCTGAACTCTCCCTCCAACTTTGTCACCAAAGGTCTGAGACCAGCTGCTGAGGGTCAGGTCAGGCACCCTCCCAGACCTTCCCCCAGGCACAGAGCCTCTCCATGGGAGCACAACCGGAAAAGGGCGGAGGAAACAGGAAGAGGAGCAGAGCAGGGCTGAAATTCCAGCGGGAAGGGCCAGAAAGCGTGGGGGGCGGTCAAGCAGGGCCTCTGGCTCTCTGCCACCAAGCAGCAGTAGCACTGGGGAACGGGGTCCTGGTGAGAGCAAAACTCACCCTGAGAGCAGGCCAGGGAGCAGTCTGCTGGTCAGGCCAAGTGCTAGTGCTCCCTGCACCCTGGCAGGCCTCACCTCATACCCCCTCACCCCGGGGGCAGGTCTGGCCTTCACCCCTCTGCAGAGATGTGTTGCATGAGGGGCGGGAAGTGGGCAGGGTGCTGGGCACAGGTCAGCCAGTGCCCCTCACCTCACCCCGTTCAGGCCAGGGCAAGCTGAGCTGGCTGAGGCTGCACCCTGGCTTTAGTGCCAGCCTGGTGTCCACTCCCAGCACTTCGATAAGAAGTGCTGGCCCTCAGGCTGAGACAGCTGCAGCTCAGAGCTGCCAGGTCCTGGCTAGACTCCAGAGTGACCCTAACACCTGCTGGCCTGTTGACACTACACATGCAGGGCCTGGCTGGGAACACTGGACCAAGTGGACCTAAATGGCTTGGAAGTGAGCTGGCTGTCAGGCCGGACGGGCAGCATCCTCATTCCTTGTGGCTCCTTGGGCCTGGTTCCACTGGCTCTACTTCAGGGTGTTGGCCCTGGGGCAGGACAGGCCTATGGGTGCTGGGTGCAGCCTGTGTAGGGATGGGCTGAATCCTAGACTTCACCACCCCCAACAGCTCCTACCAAGTGGGAAGGAGCCAGCTTGTCTGAACAGCCTTTGTTTTCTGTTGCTGTTGGAAGCAGCAGCCACCGGGCAGAAGCACTTTTCCGGGTTGTGTAGGCCAAGATTAGGGAGAACCCCAAGGTGGTTTAGCACTGGTCAAGGCAAAGTCATGGACAGTAGATCAGACAGTGGACCAGCAGAGTGGTTCCTAGGATGCAGCTGGAAGCCACTAGCTACTTACTGAAACACTCCTAGCCCAATCCAGCCCCTCCCCTCGGGACAGCAAGCAAAGTGCTGGCCTCTTCGCCCAAGGGACTTCTTTCACTGCTGGGGACCAATGTCCACGTCCGCATCTCAGTGTGAGAGTGTGCAGGAACCACTCCGGCAAAGTTGTGGGGAGCAGGAAGAAGGGCACCAGTTTGGACAGGTACCGCCCAGACCAGTGTGAGCAGTGGAGTTGGGGAGCCTGGCTGGGGCTTCAAAAGGGCCAGAGAGGAGCTCCAGCTCATCCAAGAATGAACCACCAGCTTGCTTCCTGTCTGGTTAGCCTAACTGGGAGGAGGAAAGGATCCTGGGGCAAGTGCTCGCACATGCGTGGGGACAGGGAGGCACTCGTGTGTCCGCCGCCCTCCTCCGTGAAGCTCCCGGGGAGACTAGCACCCAGGAGGCGAGCGCGTTGGGACTTGCGCGTGGGAGAGGCCACCGTCGCCTCCGCATGGACTACGTCCATGCCCAGGCCCGGCCAGACGTGGGCAGAGGTAGGGGTGGGGTGGCAGTCACGGCTCGGGGCGAGCCTGGCCACGTGTCCGCGGGGCGGCAGGTCTGGGGGCTCAGCGGCGTGCCTTTAGGGTCGAGAAGGGCGCGCGCAGGCGTGGGCAGCCCCGCCCGACCCCGCCCCGCGCGGCGCCGCCCGGGACCGAGATGCGCACCAAACTCGAGGCAGCGTTCAGGCCGATCGCACCCGTTGTGCCCCTCCCGGCCGGGCCCCCAGCCCCCATCGGCCGGACTGGGGTTCAGGTGAGGCTGATCCTGCCTCGTCGCAACCCCACCCTAGAGCCACACCCGCGTGGGCAGACGGCGGCCAGCTCGACTTCAGGCCTGTGTCCCCGCCGGGCACCTGGCGCACGCCGTGTCCACGGGGTGCGGCGGGCTCTGAGTAGGGGGCTGGCCGCGAAGGGCGGCTGGAGCGCGGGCGCGGAACGGGACGAGGAGCAGGGCACTCACCGAAGTACACGGTCTTGTCGCACTTGGGGCACTTGGAGGCCATGGTCCGTGCGCCACTTCGGCCCACACCCGCTGCTCGCAGCCGTCTCCACCGCCGCCGCCCGGTGCTCACCCCCGCCCCTCCCGGGCTACCTGCGCGCCCATTGGCTCTGTCGGTGGGGCGGGACCTCAGGGAGCCCCACCCCCTGGCTACCGGCCGCCCGGGGGCTGCGGCCGGGGTGGGGGCGCACTCGCCCGGCCAGGCGCCCCCGCCGCCCGGACAGAGCCGGCGTCTACGGGACCCACCCGGGCGACTATGGCGCCGCGCGCGCTCCGGCTGTTTCCATGGCAAACTTGGAGCTAATAATGCGTGCGGGCTGGGGGCGGGAAGCCGGGGCCCCCTTGTCTTCAAACACTCGGGAAGCGGTCTCCGAAGGCGCAGACGTGTGTGCTGAGGGACAGGGCCGCCCCCGCGCGCAGGCCGGCGGGGGAGTGGGCGCGAGCCCTGGGAATTATCTCCTACCCCGCTCTGCCCGGCTCGCCGTGTCCTCTCCACTTCCCTTTGTTGCTCGGTTTCCGTAGCAACGGCCATGTGGCGGGATCGGAGCCACACTGGCGGGGCGTGGGGGGAGCGCTGCCACCTATTCCCCACTGGTCTTGTCCACGTCGCAGTCCTCGCCCCCTTTCCCCACCTCTCACTTGTCTGTGGTTCTGAAGGTTTACGGTGGAGGCGAGGCGTGGGGACTTTGTGCCCCTTCCCTCAAGCAACGGAGATAAATTGCGGGGTGACGGTGGTCGTGTTATGTGCAATCTGAGAACAAGGTCCCCAGGGGCGTTATGTAGGTGATATAGGCGGACCCATCCAAGCACCTCCACCCCTGATGGTGGGTGGGTTGGTGGGAGGGGGTAGAGACACTGACAGAGGCCCCGGGCCACGTGCTGAAATCCAGACTTCAGCAGCAAGCGAGCATCCCTCTTCTAGACTTGGAGTCCTAACGTTAAGTCTGACATTGTCGAGTAGAAAGCCACCAGCTTTAAGAATGCCTCAATCCTTCAACCAAGACACCTTTTTGACCCATCAGGGCCCCCTTCTCAGCTCCAGACCCTAATCCAGGACATGCCTGGGCTCCACTTCCACCCTATTTCTGCTGCCTGACGCTCCCTAGGTCAGAGGGCAGCGTCTTCCTGGCTGACTTTGACAGGGCCCTGGCCCCACTTGTCCTCCTACCCCCTCTCCTGGCAGGATTGCTGGGTCCTGCCGCCCCTCCCCTAGCCTGTGCCCCAAGATGGCCCCTCACTGGGATACCAGCAGGAAACCTCTTCAATGTGCTTGGGCCCCAGTTACTTCATTTCCATGGCAACAACAGCCCAGAAACATGCCCCCCCCCCCCAAGCCTGACTGACCAGCTTGACCAGCCCTCCCACCCCACCTGGGACCTGAGCCAGCCCAGGAAGGAGGTAGCAGGCAGGCTGCCTGGGGCCAGTGCCTTCTTTTTCAGGTGTCTGGGTGCCACGCATGGGGTCCTGAGGTGGGGTAAAAGAGCTGCCCCCTGGCTCCGGACACATTGGCATCTTATACCTGGCCTGATGCCACCCACTCACCAGTTTCTTTGGCTTCTTCATTTCCACCTGGGAGACCTTGACAGGCAGCTCCCCCATCCCCTCCACCCAAGCCTGCTGGGAGGACATGTACATGCACGGTGGCAGGAGTGGCATTTGGCATGGCCCCTGGAGCAGGAGTGCATTTGCCCTGCTCTCACTCCCACCCCCATTTCTGGGCCACAGTCCCTGGACTAGGGCCAGGAGCTCCCTGAAGCACTAGGCTATTCTGGGCCTGGCAGAGAGGGACACTGATCAATAGGCAGAGAACACAGCCTTGACCTCTGCCACTGAGGGACACAAGGGCTGGGTCAGGGGGCAGGCAGCTCCACCATGGCCCCCAAACCCAAACCCACTGCTGTTGTCAGTTCCAGGCCTGAGGACCCTCCCAGAGCAGCTGAAGCTGTAAATCTATACACAGAGCAGCTTATGGCTTCAAATCATTGATCACTTTAACATGGGCCTCATGTCCCTTCTGGCTCATCTGATACTCCCACTCTTCACTGGGTCTGGGAAGTCCACATTTGGGGCAAAGGTGGGTGTGTGGGGCAGGTAGGTGGTCTGGGTGTAGCCTGGGTCAGGTCTTCAGCCCTGAGTGGCACATCCCTGTGGGCAGGGATGTAAAAGGGCAGAGTGGGGCTGTAGCTGCACTCTTGGCCTCAGTCCTGTCCCTTCCATCCCTTGCACTCAGTCTTGGCCAATTGTGGGAATAGCAGCCAAGATGTTTGGTGGGGACCCCAACTCCTTGTCTGGTTAGCACTGCCAGTGGACAGCACTGCAGAAGAGCTGAGCTTGGAGGGACCTCACACCTGGATGGCAGGCGGTAGAGGTCAAAGCTGCAAACATCAGACCAAAGGACAGAAGTTAGACCAGGAGTAGAAGTGAGGGGTTGGGGTCTTCAGAGGGTTGCTCCTCTCACTCGCGATACCATGCTTCACAGCAGACCTCAAGCCCCTGAACCAGCCCCCAGCCAACACCCTTAAGGTGACTGCTACCTCCTGCAGACTGTGCCTGGCCAGCAGGGAGGACTGCAGACTGGCTGGGTGGGGCTCTGCAGCAGGACAGTTCCCAGTGGGGTGGGTGTGATGTGTGCTGCAGGTGCTTCCTGACACCCAAGCCTGTCACCCCATGGCAGACATGGAGGCCAGGACACCCCCTTATCTGTTTCAGGACAGGCATACAAGTGGTTTCTATTTTAACTCCTCCCAGAGATTTCCAGGATGACAAGCAAGACAGGAGCCAGAGGAGGGAGGGGCTGAGCACCACCCAGGCCTCCCGGCCTGTGATACACCTGTCCCTAGGCCTACAGAGGTAGGGGGCAGGAGCACCAAGGTAGGATTTCGGAGAACAAGGCACTGGCTGAAATCTGAAAACTCTCCACCTCCGTGCAGAAACCTCATACCTGCTCAGAGCAGGACACCTCAGCTGTGGAGGGCAGTCAGGGTTCTGGTTGCCAGACTGTGCTGACCACTGGACAGAGTGGGCTCTGTCCAGTGTGGAAGGGACACAGAGCTGAGGAGAAGTCATTCCACCCAGCAGCAGCAGAAGCCCCTTATCTGCGGCTTCTCAGGACTTGCTGGGCAGGGGAGAAGGGATGCAGGGCAGCACTGGGAGGCACAAGGTTAGTCCCCCTTGAGCCCAAGGACAAAAGCAGAGAACTGCTCTGACTTCCCTCCACAGCTCCTCAGGCCACAGGCAGCCAGCCAGGCCTGACATCAGGCCACCAACCCTCTTTATCCAAGCCCAGGCTCCTGTCAGACACAAGCTCCTCCTGCCCACCTGTCTGACCACCCCAGCATGAAGGGTGGTCTCAGTAAGGGTGGGTCTGGCCTGCAGGAGGGGAAGGTGTGAGGAAAAGGAACTTTTGCTTGAGTCCAAGCACAGCTATATGGTAGGATCACGTCAAGTTTTGTCCCAAGGCCTGTAAATTCATGGGAGACCACCAGCTGGCTAGAAGGCCGCTAGTAGCGGGGGGGAGGGGGGGGCAGCTGAGGGGTATCCGGAGTCTTGGCTGCCGCTGTTTCTGTCCAGGCCAGGGTGTGTACTGCTGGGGCACAGACCCTACAGGGACGGTCCCTGGTCCTCAAAGATACTTGCCGGGGATGGCTTAGATGAAAGAAAGATGGGAAGTGGGGAGAAGATCAGATTTTTCTTAATTTTTTTTTCCTTTCTTTTGTTTAATATGAAAATTACTTGAAAAGACAAGGGCTGGCCTGGCAGGCCACTTGGCCGACACCAGCCCCATGGGCCCTAATGTCCCGGGCTGGGTGTCACAGAGCTCAAGTTCATCTACAAAAAAAGTAATAAAAATAAAATTTAAAATGGCACCTTCAACAGAACACAACAAAATCTTACAAGCCTGCCTCCCGCTGGAATGAGAGGCTGCAGCCACCCACGCAGGGGCCGCATGTCCACTCCATCAGAAGGAACACAAAGCTAGGGGCTCTGGGCATTCTGGGAATAAGTTAACCGCCCTGCTCCCTGGTGTCCACGGAGGGGACGGTCACTGAGGGATGGCATGGGAGGGGCCACTACCAAACTGAAGGGGGGGTGGCGTGGGGCAGTCTGGCCAAGGGTGCCACGAGGCCTGGGGCTGCACTGTGGGTCTCTGGCTTGGCGGCCCCGTCACGCTCTGGGTGGCTCCAGCAATGGCACCGGCCGCCCTAGTCCTCGATGACAATGGGCTCGTCATTCACAGGTGGTGGGGGAGGTGGCCGGAGGGGCAGGGCCTGGCTCTGGCGCAGGGCGATGGGCTTATAGGGCCGGCGGGCAGCACGTTTGGTCTCTGAGGACGAGAGCAGCTTCCGGACCTTCCTGCAGGAAAGGACACAGAGAATGTGTGGGTGGATCGGCAAGCCATGTCCCCCACAGGTGAGGACATACACAGGAAGGGAGCGTGGACCATGTCCCTGCAGATGGAAGACATGTAGGTGAGGTCACTCAGGCCATGAAGGGGACTGGCAGGCCCTGTTCACCACCCACCGCCCAGGACAGGTTCACACCTGGTCTCCTCAGTGGCCATGTAGAACACGTCATCAGGGGCATCGATCCAGTTCATCCTTCGCCGCTTGACGGGTGGCAAGGAGCCCCCCCGGATTAGGCGCACTTTGGTGGGGTATGACTTCCCATTGAGCAGCAGGTTCCGGCTTGGTCCCTGTGCAGAGGGGGTGCAGCAAGGTGTGACAAGGCCACAAGGGAGAGAAACGGAGAGGGTCAGGAGTGGCCCCCTGGCTGCTCAGGTCCCTAGTCTGTGCTATGTGTGCTAGGTCTCGGTCATGTGAGTAGGAAGCAGATGTCAGGCGGCCTCCCTTCCCTGCTGAAGCAGATTCTTTCCCTGCAGAGAATCTCACCCCAGTTGGCAGGGACCTCTGAGGGCTATGAAGATGCCCCCACCACCGCCACCCTGCCGTCTCCCTCACACTCCTACATGCTGCCTCCAGCTCCAGATGCTAAGGTGCCATGTGGGTGCTGTGTGTGCAGGAATGTGTGTGAAAGTGCACACAGACAGGTACATGCGTGTACATATGCAGCAGTTTGGACCCTCACTCACCATGTGCCTGGTCTGTCCATGGTTTGTCAAACCTGAGGAGAGAAGATGAGACCATGATGCCTTAGGAGCAGTGATGGCCTGGCCCACAAAAGAGGGCCTGGGGTGCAGGCTGCACACGATCCTGGCAGACCACACCCTGCCTGGGGTCTGTCCTTTGTCCACCTGGAGGAGCAGAGGGGCCTTGCAGCCTAAGGGCTGCACCCTCATGGCCCACTCAGCTGGGCCAGGACAAGCGAGCCATCACATACTCACTGCTGGCAACTGCAGCAGCACCTAGAGCCTCTGGCAGAGGTGGTCATGTCAGACTCCAGACATGGCCCCAAGCGTCAGTGCTGTGTGGACCAGGCCTCCCTGGAAGTCCCTGGGGGAGCTAGGTCGGCCATTCGCTTTGGTCAGAATGGTCCTTTAACCTGGAAACCACTGGTCCTAATGTGTGGAGACAAGCAGCTGCCGTCTTGGTCACAACCATACCACCACCTGACCCTGGCTGCCCACAAGGCCTGCAGAGCCGCCTGAGCCTCCCCCACGGCCACTGCTGCCTCCTGCCCAGCCTGCCTGTGGAGGCGTGCATCACACACAGTAACGTGTGCATGTGAACACACAACTACGTGCACGACTACGTGTTTCCAGGTGCGTGCTTCTGCTGGTACAATCTCGAGTGCATGCTTCCGTGCACACAGCATACACACCAGTGGTGGGAACCTCGTGGGAACCTCCATGCACATGAGCACAGAGGCGTGTACACATTTGCAAGTGAGACAGGGCATGCCTGAAGCATGTGTTAGGAGCCCATGTGGGGAGGAGAGGATGTCTGCAGAATAAAGCCTCTCACACCTGTGCTAGGTTCCCACCTGCCCAAGTGCCTTCAGGGAACTGTCCCCAAACACACGTCCAGGAGCCCTCCCATCAGGAAACCCAGGCCCCAGACTCTCTTTCCAGCACCAGGGTCCCACTGAGCAAAGAGATGCCCCACAGAGCCTAAAGCCTGGAGCCCATGAGAGACTCACCCAGGAAAGTTCCTAGCCGTTGCGAGGTGTGGAAGGAGAGAAAGCACAGATTTCAGAGTTAGAGGGGGGCAGCACCCAAACAGCAGACCCCTCCCAGCACAGGCAATGTCAGGGTCTGGCTGGTGCTGTGGCCTTGCCCAGGCTGGACAGAATCACATGGCTGAGGCATCCATCAGGCCCACCCCGAACACTGTTGGGACGTGCAGGCTGGAGCTGGAGTCAACACAATTGATTTTAAAAAAATCAATCCTGTCCATTTTTTGTTTCTGAGCAGCTCTTCAAACACCATCTCAAATGCTTTAAGACATGGATCAGTAAGAACTTGCCCATCCGTAGCCGACCTGGACCACATGTTCTGGCAACACAGAGCTGGTAGCAGGAGGGCTGAGGCAGAAGGGGCTGCCTTGTCTCTGTCTCCTGAAAACCACCCTGGTCTCAGTGACGGCGTGAAAAGTTCAGAGCAAGGCCAAGCACTCACCCAACTGCCTGCCGGGCCAGGGGACCCCATAAGGGAGCTGGAGGAGAGGGCACAGCGGGGACAGGATTGGGGCCCAAAGCCCAGCCACACCCACAGAGAGCGGGACAGGGTGGTATCGCAGGGTCTTCAAACAGAGAGGTTCCCCTCAGGCCCTTCTGACCCATGTGCACACCCCATTTGAGGCACTCAGCACCCCTTCCCCCCCAAGCACACATCTCCCATGTCAATAAACACAAGTGCTAGCAGTTCCATGTGAGGCGACATGAGCAGCCCACGACGTCTCTCCTCCCTCGGGGTGGGGAGACTGCCCTAGTCTGGCCAGGTTTGGGGGCCAAGCCTGCAATGGAGGTCACAGCATGGCCTCACTGTGCTTCTAGATTCTGCTCCTTCAGCTTGGTCTCCCTGAAGCCCTGGGCCTCCTGGTCACTGCCCACTCCAGGCAGGGGTGCCCAGGCCTGCTCCTCACCCTCTGCACGCCAGCACCCCAAGCTTCTCCTGCAGTTTCAGCTCCAGACAAGCAACCCTCACGCCCACTCTGAGCCCCACGTGTGTCAGCCCAACTCGGGGGAAGGAGAGCTGCCGACACCTGGCCCTGGGGCAGGCACATACAAGGGTGGGCACAGCGTGCACCAGCGAGCCGGGCACGAAGCATGCGGCAGTCACAGCACGAGCACAGGGACAGCGCGGGCACCAGGGCCAGTGCGCGAGGCCGTCCATGGCCAGGAGGTGGCCAGTGGGTGGACAGCCTCGCACGCCGGCCCTCCCGGCATGCACGAGCAGCACAGACACGGCCGGGCGGCCAGAGGCACGCCTGCCTTACCCCTACTGGGCATCAGGAGGCGCTTCTTCATGTTGCCTGGCAGCGCCCAGAGACAGAAGGGAGAGAAGACAGTGTCAGGCAGGGCGGCCTCACGCTGGACGGGTCTGCCCAGGCCGGCGCCCAGCACTTGCAGGCCACGCTCACCGTCCGTCCCATTATGCTGTTCATAGCTTCTCTTGCCCAGGATGGTCGGGGAGCCGTTGTTGATGACGGGAGCCACCTTGGCGGGGGTCAGGCTGCTGGGCGTGCCAGCCACACTCCTCACAGGCTCAGGCTTCGGTGGGCGCGGGTGGGCCTCTGTCAGGACAGATGGAGAGGTGGCTGCTCCAGGAGGCAGGAGGCCAGGCTTTGCTATCAGATTAGAGGCCGTCTTGACCCCACATGCTGAGTGTGGGCAGGCTAACACTGCACAGCATCTGCACTCCCAGAGAGCTCCACAGACAGACGTGGGTTCTGGCTCAGCTGTCCTTGGGTCCTCCCTTCCCGCAACCCTCTCAGATACCCAGCAACGCGGAGGCGTGAGAGGGGCCTCGATGAGGCAGGGGCCCATCTGGGGCACCCAAGATCTCCTGTGTGCCACATCAGGGGTGATAAGGTGACAGTTAGGAGACGGCATGGCTCCTATGGGCTCTGTCCCCACCTGCCATTTCCCACTTGGGACACACAGGGAGACCTGAAGACCCCTGAATGACGGAAAGGTCACTACCAAAACGAAGACCACTATGGACCCACTGAAAGGCCAGCCTCTCAGCCACCAGCCCAGGATGGCCAGGGCTCAGACAGGGCACACCCTGTCCACGAGACACTCAATTTCCTGGCCACTGGAACTGGACAGTGAGGGGCTGGCTGGACGCCAGACGCCAAGCTGGCTGGGTTGGGTTCCAGCGTCACACCTCAAGGGCTGACCTCACTCAAGCCCCAACAGCAAGGAGCTGGTTGCCGAGCTCCAAGTCACTCAGAGGCTGTGGTGACCTGAAGGGGGGCTGACTGGCATCCACAGGACAGAGCAGGGCCAGGCGGGCTGACCCCTCCCAGCAAGGGTGCCCGAGCCACAGTGTCTGTGCCGCTGAGCTCACAGCTCCGGAATGTCCCTGACGAGAGCAAAGCCACCTCCATGCTGGGAGGACTGACTCACAGCCAGGCCTGGCTATGCAGCCTGCAGACATCCGGCAGAAGCCCTAGAAGGCACCTGCAGTGGGAGGGGCAAACCGATCACAGGGATGCTCCCTGTGGGGCTACTGGCCGAAGTCCAGCCTGAGGTCTGAGATACCTACCCTCTTCCTGAGGTCAGCCCTCAGCAAAAACCACTTGCCTGAGGACACTGTGGTCCTGGTAAGCTTGAGGTTAGTGAACAAGCTGAGAGGGAGGCTGACCTGGCCTGGGTCGTGACACTCAGCATTATGTCATCTGCGGTAAATCTTAACCAAAAACGAAGACTCTCAGTGACCACACCATGGTTAAGCACAGCAGAGACAGAGGGTTGGCACAGGACAGTGTCTGATTCTGTAAGCTGAGCTGACCCAATGTTATCTCAGAACAACAAAGTGAAAGCAGTGAAGCCGGGATCAGGCTGTCTGGGTCAAGCTTTTGGGGTGAAAAAAACCCAAATGCACTGCCTCAAGTCAATTCCAATTCAAAGCAAGCCTGTTAGGTCAGACCAGAAATAGATCGTCTGTCGCTCTTTTCCCTCAAGAAGCTTCAAACTGCCAACCTTTTGTTTGAGCAAACAAGTAACTCTCAACTTGCTGTCAAGTCAGAGCCAAATCGTAGCTGACTCTCCAGTGGGTTTTCAGAGGGTCTAAAGTGGGAGAAGACTTCCCATCCTTCTCCCACAGACCGGCTGGTGGATTTGAACCACCTGCCTTTGCATTGGCAACACTACTCCATACCTACTAGGTCACCAGGGTTCCCTTTTGTTGGGAGTTGAATGCTTTTACCCATGGGGCCAGCAGGGCTCATTTATTGGGATTTGAGATTTAACAAGTAAACTGAAGCAGGAGAAACCTACTGTAACCATACTTCATACATTCCACACTCCAATCTTGAAAGGATGTTTTGCAAGGGAGCTCTGCTGGCCTAGTGGCAAGATGCTGCACCGTAATCCCAGAGGTATATGGTTCAAATCCACCAGATGCTCTGCTGAAGAAGGAGGGGCAAACTCCTCCTATACCAGGCAGATCTGATTCGATGGTACACACACAAAAAATCATAAAATAAAGGATGTCTGCAGCTGGAAACACTGCAGGGTTTAAACTCAGAAAAGGTGTGTGTCAGGGTCATATCCTTTCTCTATACTTTTTCCAGCTGTATGCAGAGCAAATCCTCTGAGAAGCTGGACTATATGAAGATGATTCTGGCATCAGGACTAGTACTGCATCAACCACTGATTGAAACAATCAAGGTGTTCCTTACATGAAGGATGGCAAAACTATCTCTCAGTGTGGGAATATTTTCAAAAGGAATCAGGCGATGGAGGGAGATATTACACCTGGAAAGGTAGAGAGACCCCCCCAAAGAAAGGAAGAATCTCAGTGATTACAATAACGGGACAGAGAGCAGGCAGACTGAGGATGGTGCATAACAGGGCCAAGTTCTCTCCTCAAAGCTTCTGTAGTTACAGGCGACCCGCAAGCACCTAACAACGCTACAACCAAGAAAGAAGGGCTGGGAACAGAGTGTGTTCTCCTTGGGCTTGGCTCTCTGGGAAAGGAGCCTTCAAGAATCGGAAAACAGAGTGCAATGTCTTCCTCTGGAGCGAGCACTTTGAATTCCAACTGCTATCCTTCTAGCTTGTGAGGGAACACACTTCTGTTTGTGGAAGTTCTCCCTTGAGGCATCTCTGACATACCATCTGTAGGTAACTGAGATGGGCCTGCAGGGCTGGGATTAGCATAGTGGACATGCCCAGCCACAGGGGGCCACAACCCAAGACAGCTTCCAGCCAGGTGGCAGATACAGCAGGTGAGCATGGCGCCATCCCAGGACATCTGGGCACTGCCAAGGTGGCCCCAAAAGGCTCACTGGGCAGGGCAAACTTACCAAGGTATCGGAGCACGGCTTCCAGGGGCTTCCGTACCACCTGTCTCAGCACCAGCGGACTCTGGGAGGCCTCAGGCAGCCGAGCCGTACCTGTGAGGAAGGTGCTGGTGAGGGGGTCCCCAAGGGCTCACATGGGTTACAGGCCCCGCCTCTCTAGCTGGGTCTCCTCCAGGGACAGCTTGAGGGGCACTCACACTCAGCCTTGATGGCAGCGCTGTTGATGGGCATGTAGGGGTGCCGGGCAGCATGGCAGGGACGTAGGATCTCACGGCACAGCCGCCGAGCAATGCGGGTCAGCTTGGTGGTGTGCAGGTAGAAGGCCTGCCTTGTCTTCATGGCGAACTTAGGGCTCCCGCTGCTCCGCGTGGGGATGCCATGTGGACTCTGCAGAAGGGGCACAGTGGCCCAACACAGCACCATGACCGGGGGCCAAAGGTGCAGGACAGAGCAGCTAGTGGGGGGTGGCACCACTTACCATGTTACTGCGGTTGGGTCCCGGCCTTTCGCCGTCTAAGCGGGTTGGCATTTTCAAGCCACCATATTTCTTCCAATAAGTCCAACAAGAGGCGCAGAGACGACACTGCATGTTAGGGGGACCCCAAGAATACCACTGGTAAGACTGTGTGGCTACGGACAACAAAGTTGAAGATACACATGTTCTTAACAGAACCAGCGACGTGAGAGCATTTCAAAGCTGCCACCCCCACCCCAATCCCCACCAGACCTGCCACTGGGGATCCAGTCCAGCAGCCTGCAAGCTCACTTCCCAAGCATCTCTCCCATCCTATCCCAACACCGCCAAGATGCTTCCCTCTGGGGAACCTTTCCCACTTTGCAACACCCACTCAACGGACAACCCACACGCCAGAGCTCCTGCACACCTAGACCTGTCCACCCAACTTCCTGGCCTCTGCTCTGAATGTCCACCGACCCTGGCCCCATCCTGCACCCCTCACCCTCACCCCATCCTCAAAGTCCTCTTTCCTCATCCTATACCCTCTCACTCTCCATTCTACCACCCCTACCTCATCCTAACCGCCATTCCACCTCATCCATTCTACCTCATCCTCACCACCCCATTCTGCACCCTGAAAGCCTGAACCCCTCCCAGTCTGAACCCTCCCCTCCTGCACCCTCCCCTCCTGCACCCCTCCCCCTCCTGCACCCCTCCCCTCCTGCACCCCTCCCCATCCTGCACCCTCATCCTGCACCTCTTCCAGCCTGCACCCTCCCCATCCTACACTCCTCCCCATCCTGCACCCTCCCCTCCTGCACACATCCCCATTCTGCACACCTTTCTCCCCATCCTCACCCCCTTGTCCTAAATGTCCCCATCTCTGCACCTCATCCACCCACACATACATTTCAATGTTGTGCTATGCCTCCCTGGGCTGTCGCTCAAACCCTGGCTCACTAGGGATCCCTTCCTCAGCCAGATAATTCTAGAAGCATCTGGCCTTAAGAAGAACCAACTGGCAGTGCAGGAGCATTTTGTGGGGCAGGCCCGGTGCCAGCTACAGCTTCACTTACTGTAACAACTCTCGCAGGCCCGGCCAGCACCGGGACTCTGGCCTGGCGGCCCTGTGCCATTCACCACACCCGCCTTGATGCTGTTGGCGCTGATCTGGTTTGGGTTTGGCTTGTTACTTAGAGGGCAAGGGATGGAAAAGAGTGACATTGTCAAGCACAGCCAGCAGCAAATTCCCAAACCACGCCCCCCCACTGGTCTGTGCCTCATCAACTGCCAAGACCACCTCATGTCCAGCAATGGGCTAGAACTAGGTGCCACTGGACCCTTACCCAAGGGGCTGGCCCTGCCTCTACCACCCAGGGGCCACAGCTGTGCAGTGCCATTATACACTCTTTAGACTCGCCAGCTGAACCCACTGGCACAGAAACAGGGTTCCTGGCCGTGAGGCCCTTCGGTCACCCCTGACAAGGGCTTCCCACTTGCCCATGGGACCCCCCCGCCCACATGGCATGCCTCTGACCATCCAGTGGGCCCTGACGGCCAAGGGCAGGACACTTACTAGTTAGGGATATAAACTTGCTTTAACTTGCTCTCAGCCTCTGCTGCTTTCAAGCGTTTCTTAGGACACACAAAACAAAGGGTCAGAGGTCAGCCAAGCACAAAGGACACACCCTGACCCCCTCAAGGGCAGGGGGGGCTGGAGGACTGACATGATCAAAGGCTTGCAGTGCAGGACATAAGGCAGATGGCCAAGCTCCAGGAAGTCTCCCCAGATCTACACAGAGCCCAAGGAAAGGCTCAGTGCACAGCCCTGCCCCAGGTGTGGGCACAGCTGCCCGAGCTCACTCTCATCCACCTGGGTCCCTGACCCAAACCCAGGAATCTCGATGCTCACTGCCAGCAGGGCAGAGAATAAGGGCATGACCCAAGGGCACCATGGGGAGACAGTAGGGGACTGGGCTGGCTCACCTGCTGGACATATCTGTCGGTGGTCTTCCACATGTAGTAGTACTCGATGATACTGGTGAGGGACTTCCAGGGGAGCTGGCAGGGGAAAGCCCAAGACGTGAGGGCACGGCCTTCGGGAGGCGGCCACCCCAATTCAGGCAGGAAGGTAAAGTGTAAAGCACTGTGTCAGAGCACGGGGCATGGCAGAGAGGCACTGTGCGGCCAGCCCCACAGCTCTGTCCTGATGCTGTCCCTCCACATACACAAGTTTCTCAAAAATGAGGCTGGAGGAAGAGAAGTTGGGAAACGATGATTCCCAGAGCCAGGCAGCAAGAACCAGGGCCCAGAGCCCCAAGGCAGCCCCAGTGGCCTCGCGAGCCATGTGCCCTCTCACTACACTCCACACTCCTGGAAACACTGCTTTTCTAAGCTACACAGTCACCGCAAAGGTTGAGACACAGCTGACAGCCTTGACGGGACTCTACACAACAAAATCTCCAAGCTGAGATCCATTCAGAGTTTCACAGGACTGTGGTCTACTTCAGTATATACAACGTCTGGAAGAGCCCTCATGCTGCTTTAGCAGCTGCTGCCATGGCCTCCACAGCGAGAAGTCTCTCCCTTGACGTCTGTGAACCTGAGACCAGTGAGCCTCCAGTCCACGTGAGGCATTTCCTTGACATAAATTCCTCTTCCCTCATGTCCCCCCCAGACGCTGATACACACCTATATGCGTGCATACACACCGAGACACACACACACACACAAACCGACACAAAGGTGCTGATACACACCTATACGCGTATATACACACACAGAGATATCAACACACACACACACACAGGTGCTGATACACACCTATACATATGCATACAGAGACACCAACACACACACACAGAGAAACCAACACAGACAGACACAAAGGTGCTGATACACACCTATACGCGTATATACACAGAGAGACACCAACACACACACACACACACACACACACACACACACACATGCTGATACACACCTATATGCATACACGCAGGTACATGGCTCTAGAGAGCCCGGTCTGAGATAAGGACTGCTGGGTTCTCTTCTTAATGACCTTCTGCTCCCCCACATGCAGAGGGTCTCCCACTATTTGCTTCCCGTGGAGAGTGGGCTTTTAAACTATGACCTTTTCTCTATTTCCTTGACTGTATCCCAATGCTTGTAAAGTCTACAATGCTTTCATGAAAATGGTTTTCTGGTCTGCGATACTGCACTCCTGAAATCTACTGTATACACTTCCCTTTTAGGATCATTCCCTGTCCCTCAATTCCTGAGAGAGTTTTTCCTTTAGTAAAGTTCAGCAAGTTGTTTAGAATTTCTGCTTCTTTGTTATTTATGAATATTTTTATGATAATCCATTTTCTATCAACAGATGGGGAAAAGGATATGCTGTGGTATGAACTTAATCTAATAATCCTGCCTCGCTATGCACAGAATTCAGATAATTTGCTTCTATTTCTAAGTGACTCTATCAGAAAGCACATAGGACCAGACACTGCCCTCTCAGATGGGGGTTCTTCCCACACCTCCTCTCTCCCCGAGATTGCTTTGAGTTTGTTTGGAACAGGAGGTCCAGCACTGTACACCCACTCTGCCCTCCTAACCGTGCAAACTACTCCACCTGATTTCTACTCGGCCACCAGCAGCCTGCCAACTTTGTGGCGTTCAGAAGATGCATCCTATTTCTAGTAAATGTCTTTGTTTAGTTTTGTTAGTCAAAGTTATACACACATACATGGTTTTCAGAGGTTCTCTGGGCTGGTCAGGCGCTGTCCACACTCCTACTCACAAACATTCTTGCTTTGTTTCTCAGCTGATATTTGTTGCTCTTACTAACAACAGATACTCCTCTAAAGTTCAGTATTTTGCCTCAGGCCCTGGCTGGTCCTGTGATGACCACAGGGAATTAATCATCTGGCCAGGCCTGGGTCACCTTTGTCCTGTGTCAAGATTGTTTCTCCTCTCAGGCTGGCCCTTCGGTCTCTCACCTCGCGTTTATTTCTCTGGCTTCCTGTACAGTCCGTAAGTCGCTGCTGTGCTGACCTGGGTTCTGCCACTCCTTATTCCAGTGACCCTCCTGGTCAGATGACAGTGATTCTGTGTTCTGACCCTGCTCCAGGAAGGTCACGTCTGTCCTGTCCTCACTTCTTGGCTCATGCGCACTCTGCTAGCGGAGCTGTGGCCTGGCGCTGTAATATACCTCAACAATCCTCAGTGCATCTTGTAGAATTAAGAGGAGAAGGTTCCAAAGGACACAGGTCACTCTGCTCACACTGCAGTGCCATGGGGGTCAGTGCAGCGAGCTCATAAAACAGAAAAACCCACTCTCACGGGTGGGTTCACAAGGATACAAACAAATTCAGCGAAAACCAAGAATTATCAACAAAAACTTAAGAAACAAACACAAGGATGGGGTTTTAAGGAGGGTCTCTCGGCCACCAGCCCAAGCTGAGTCTCTGGCTACTAAGTATTCTGAGGCCAGATGCCAGCAGGTGCTCTTCAGCTATAGCCTTCTCTTTCCTCAAAGGCTTCAACACTGTGAAAGGTCATTGGCTGTCAGAGCAGGACAGGGCAAGACTGGACGCGTAGCCATGGGCTGAGGAGGGGGTTGGCTGTGCACTACGAGCAGCTACCACTGGACAAGTGTGGTGTCTGGGGCGGGCCTGGGCACTCACAAAGTCCTGCTGGATGTCTGTGAAGTCCTTCCCATACTTCTCCAGAGCTTCCTCGAAGAGGTTGGCCTCTGAGGCTGACCATTCCTCCATCTCATCCCGACACAGCACTGGCCCACCCTGCGGCACCAGGGCCGAGATGGCCTTGGAGATGTCATAGATGTTCTTGTGGAGCGTGTCCATGGCGTGGAACTGTGTGGACAGGAGAGGCTGGGCTGGTGCTGCATCTGCTCACTGCCTGGGAGCCTCTCGATGCCCTCGCCCTCGTCCCTCTGGCTGTCTTTACAGCACACAGAGCCAGTGAGCAGCTGTACTGTCACCTCCTATTCTGGGCCCTCATTCCCAAAGTCCAATGTCCTAGATGGGCTCTACCCAACCCCCGGGAAGACCAAGGAACATGCTCAGGGAAGGGGGAAACGGGGCTCAAAAGGGCCTCAGGAACATGTGGACAGAAGACGGCCATACACACATTCCAGGGGTCAGCAGGTGAGGGGGAAGACACAGTGAAGGCCCTCCCACCCTTCACTGGGCCACACCTCACCCAGTAATTCTCCCAGGCTGTTCCACTTCCCTCCAGACGCCCTATGCCGAGGGTATCAGGAAACGCTCCAGCTCTCGGGGTGCGTGGTGCATGCGAGTGTGTGCACGGACACACAGAGAACACACGTGTAGCATCCATGAAGTATGCAGTGGACGTGCAGTGTGTGGTGTGTATGTGCAGTGTGGGTGTCAAACGTGTCATATATGTAGAGGGTGTATGTGTGTACAGTTGTAGCATGTGAAGTATACATAGAGTCTTAGTGTAGTGTCCATGGAGTGCATGTGTGCAAAGTCTGTGTACACGTGAAGTGTGCAGTGAATGTTTAATGTGTGCATGGGTAGCATGATTGTGGAGTCTCCGTGGAGAGTGCGTGTGTGCACGCGTGCTGTGTGCCAGCTGGGCATGCAAGGGTGTGACAAGGGCTGCCCTTGGTCTTGCAGTCCAAGCCCATCTGCGACCAGAACACGGTGTGGGAATGCAGAACGGGCACTCACCAGGGTGATGTCCCGGGAGGCGGCCGCAGCACTCATGTGCAGGCTGGGCTGGCGGACGGAGCTACTGCAGTCCAGTGCACGTGCAAAGGTGCCCACAGAGCTGGAGAAGGAGATGTGGTACCACAGCTACACCAGCTGAGAAACCAGGGACCTGACCTCGTCCCGAGCTGCCTAGACTGTCCACAGGCCTAGCTGGGCTCACTTATTGGAAGGCCCAGAATTCCTTTCTTGGTGACAGCGGAGGGCTTGCCGTGGAAGTTCTGTCAGAGCCCCCAATCCTCCATGGCTGCCCTTGCCTTCCACCCAGGCATTTGCACCATGGGTAGCAACCCAGAGCTCAGCCCCTTGCCCAATCAGCCATCTGGAAGAACTATGGAGGTTTCCGCAGGGGCCAGGGGATGGAAGAAACCCCGAGGCAGCAGCATTCCTGCACAGCAGCTTTGTCCCTCCTACCACTTACCGGGCCACCACCAGGAACTGGTCAATCTGCTTGTCGATGAGGGGGTTGTGTGCCTCCCAGACCTTGGTCTCCAGTTTGGACTGGTCACGGCCATCCTCCTCGCCTACAGGAAAGGGGACCATGGCCACATGAGAAGCAGCCGGAGTGTGTGCTCTGAGTGGGCACGGACTGTCCTCCAGGTGGGTCAGCAACTGCACAGAGCCCCAGCGTTCTCATCTGGAGACTCAGTAACCAGGAAAATGGGGCCCAGAGGTCTCCAGTCAAGGACTCTGGAGTGAGGCCCTGGGCCTGGCCCTGCCCGGGGCCCAGCTGTGTTGGGGTTCCTGGGACAGACAGACCTTGATGATAATGCTAAGATCTCTGAAGCCTCATACATAGCTGAGGGCACAAGAGACATCCTCTGATGGGGTGGGGGGGCGTGGGGCCCTGCCAGGCACCGGTGACAAGGACAGTTCCACTGCATTTCATTCTGTCCCCTTTCCAGGTGAGTGGCCCCAGGGGGAACTGGCTCTGCCCAGCTGGCTTCCACCGGACCATGCAGGCTGTCCTGCCCATCCTTTCACGTGGGAGCAAGGATTCTGGGGTCCAGCACTGACAAGGCAAAGCTCAGGTCAGTTAGGCAAGCAGAAGGATGATGACCTGTGAACCAGCTCCCACCCCACGGGATGACCGTAAGGAATATGCAGCCAGCAGGCAGGACACTGTATGGCCTAGGGGACTTTGTTTGTGGGGCAAGCTGCAGCCACAGCTCAACACTGGCTATCACCTGACATGCTGCAGATGATCCCATCGGCTGTCCTATGCCCTCAGTAGCTGTGTGCCCACCACTGCCACTGGTGGTCCCCTCATTCACAGGTCCTGGCCTGCATCCCAGGGTCTGTCACTAGGTACTTACTTCTGGAGCCTGTGACCCAGGTTGCTGGAAGTGAGCTGCTCTGGGAAAGCAGGCACATCCCAGCAGTTCACAGGAAAGATCTGGTCACTGTCTGAGGGCTAGTGGTTCAGCCTGGGCCCAAGATGGCCTCAATCTGGAGTAGAATCCTACCTGGCCTGCCCCCCGCTGTCCTGTGCTGCAGACTAGGCAAAGCAAAGGGGAAGCAGGACCCTTCAGGTACACCCCAATTCCAGCACTGAAAAAAGGCAAATGAAGGGCTGAAAAGCAAAGGAGCATAGTCTTTCCTCCAAAGACAAAGTCTGTCTACTGAGTACCTGCCTCAGCCTGGGGTCCAGTTCACGGAGCAGGTCAGCCCCACCTGCTCAGTGAGCACAAAGTTACTACTCCCACGGTATCTGCCTGCAGCCGCTTCACCCCAACAGCATACTGAGAGAGGGAGGTTGGGGGGGAAAGAGGCTGAAAGTGAGTGGGGGACTGAGAGAGGCAGACAGAGAGGGGCTAAAGGGGGCTGAGAGGGGGGACTGAGAGAGAGCAGGACAGAGAAAGGGGAATGAAAGGGGCTGAGAAAGTGGGGGGATGAGAGAGGGGCTGAAAGAGAGATGGACAGAGAGAAGGGACTGAAGGAGGCTGAGAGGGGCTGAAGGGAACTGAAAAAGAGGGGGGCTGAGAGATGGGGGACTGAGAGAGAAGGCTGAGAAAGAGGGGCTGAGAGAAGGCCTGAGGGGGGGCTTGGGGGTCAGAGAGAGAGAGGGAAGCTGAGAGAGGAAGAGGCTGAGAGAGAGGCAGACTGATAGGGGACACTACGAGAAAAGAGGCCTAAGAGAGAGACACAGAGAAGGGAGACTGAGTTGGGGGCTCAGGAGGAGGAATTTGAGAAAAAGGGAGACTCAGAGAGAGGGTCTGAGAGAGGAGAGTCAAATAGAGGGGGAGCTTTGAGAGACCTGAGACTGAGGGGACTGAGGGTCTTACAGGTGTGAGGGAGAGAAAGTTGGGAGCTCAGTCCTGGCTGATGACAACTCACCACTCCTGCCCCAACAAGCCGCTCACACCGTCCTGGGAGTCCAGGACACAGGTGACCTGCTCATAGTGCCAGGCCAGTGAAAAACACACAGCATGTGTGAGAACATCAGATGACCTCTGGGTCTGTCCCCAGAAAGGAGCAGTTCCATGCAGCAGCCTGACAGGAGCACCCTTACATGGGTGGCTGCCGGCGGGTCAGCCTGATGGCAAGGAGGGCAGCAACGGTCATCAGGCACAAGGCTTATCCCTCTGCCATGTCATGGCTACGTCCCATCACCAAGCCCACTAGAACCACTGCTCCAACAGAAGCAACCCTGGCTGCAGGGTCCTCCAGACATCCTGTCCATGGCCAGCCACTGCCTCGTCCATTCCAGCACCCACTGACGACACAGAGCCAGGTACCTCATCCAGCCCTCCTTGGCCAGAACCTCACGGAGGAGCACAGTGGGTGGCAGGCAGTAAGGGTACAGTGTCCACCTGCCCCCACCTTGAGGACAGCTTGGGTAGTTTCTGAGCTTTCAGGACTAAGTCCTCTGAGAGTTCACCAAGGGGCCCAGCTCATGACAAGACATGCTGGGCTGACATTCTATGGGCAAGCGGGAGCAGGCGATGTGTGGACGCAGCTACAGTCACTCTGAGTTCAAAGGAGAGAATGACACCTATGAGAGAAGCCACACTGTCCTGCTCACCCAAAGCTGCTAACACGCAGACCGGGGTGCAAGACACAGGCCAGCAAAGTGAACAGAGCAGGTGTGGCTCCTGACCCACTCAGGTGAGAGGCGGAGAGTGTGAACCCAGGGGTGCTGGCCATCCTCCTAGAGACCATCCTGACGCCAGTCATCATCCTCCTCCAGCCGGCCCCCAGCGGAGGTCATCCACCTAATGACCACAGTCCACTGACATGCATGACATCCGCTGATGGTGTGAGGATCCCATCATGTGTGCACACTAACATGCATGACTGTGCACAAGACCATGTGGATGTATCTGAGACTGCACACTATGCGTGCGTGCGAGACTGTTAAGTATGTATGTGTGCAATGTTGTATGACACTCTGTGTGTGTACATGCGTGTGACTGTGCACACAGCATTGATGGGGTAACAGCTTTCTAAGGGACAAAAAATGTGTATGCGTGATGTCCATGCATGTTCAGCAGAGAAGGCAGCCCGGTGGTTAAAATGCTCAGGTGCTGACTGGAAGGCTATGTGGACATCAGGCGTTCAGCAGGTGAGGAAGGGGCCTTGCTGAGGACTTGTGTCAGCCGAGTTGGCCGTGCCTGACAGCCGACCCTCCAGTGGGTTTTCAGAGGCAGTTTAATCACACGAGAGGAGACTGTCCACTTTTCTGCAGGGCAGCTGATACGGGTGCTCCTGGCCCGCACAGCCCCAGAGGAAGAGACTAAACCCCTCTCCTTCCCACCTCTCAGGCCCCTGCTGCTATCTAGAGCCCTGAGCCCACTACTTGTCCTTCACCCAGTGTCAGAAAATGGCTCTTTAATCCAGCAGCCTGGGCTCTGCTGACCAGAGGCTGGATATGTCAGGGCCCCCACCAGGTTGGCTCCAGCATCTGTCACCATGACAACTCCAGCATTCCATTCAAGGATGGGGCAAAGTGGGCGCAGCCCCTGGGAGCTGTTCCCCGTTCCTCAGTCTTGGAGGCCAACCTGAGGTTACATTAGCACCATGCCTCACAGGAGACCCTAACATATGGAGTCAGGGAGGGAACTAGGGGTCAGTGAGAATGACAGGGCAGGTGCAGGGCTGGAGTGAGGGTCATTACAGATGTCAGAGCAGGTGAGGGGCTGGTGCTGATGGGAAAGGTGAAGGGCTGGAGTAGGGGTTAGTGCTCATGACAGGGCAGGTGAAGGGATGGCACTGGGGGCCAGCGGAGTCTGGGGTAATCATCTCTCAAGTGAGCCTAAGGTCCTGACACAGGGGACCCTGCAGGCTGCCAGGCCTCGAGCCTGTGTGTTTACCTGGGTGCCAGGCACTTCTTGTTCTCTGACCCTCCAAATAGCTGCTGTAGTCTCCCATGGAGTAGGAGGTAAAGCCAGGCTCCATTTCCACCCACCAAGGCCCAGAGGGAGCTGGCCCAGGAGAAAACTATCAGCTTCTAAAATGCCTCAGGGCTGACTTGGGAGAGGTCCAGGGGCCGAGGAGGAGATGAGACCTTGCATGTGATCAGCACCTGCCCACTCCCATCTGCCCCTGCATCCATGATAGTCCCGAGTGTCCACGGTCTCCCACCTCAGGCACGTGGGGCATTTCTGCACACAGGGCTACCCCAGGCAGAACAAATGCAGACCTGTGAGAGGAAGGCTTCTGAAAAGCGACAGGAACGCAAACTCTCATGCTGGGCGGTGCCATCAGGCAGGGTTACCAGCAAGGCTTAGCTCAGGGCTGCATTGTGCTGAGGCCCTGCCCCCAGCAGGGAGGAGGTGGGATGGCGAGCAGTCATCCATTCCCACCTGTGCTTGACCACAGGGGCAGCAGCAGCCAGCTGACCACCTTACCTTCCTTCAGCAAGTCAGTGATATCAGCCTGGTACCGGTTCCCCACACGGATCTCCCCCTTATCAGCCAGCAAGGTCTTCTGCTGGGGGTCATAGACCAGAGAATAGAAGAAGAAATCCTGAAAAACAAGATCAAACAGGTTACAGTGTGATGCGGACACAGCAGTGGCCTCACCAGGAAGCAGGGGACTGGGCAGCTAACGGGGGTGAGGAGGGAACAAGCCTGTTATGTGACGTCTTGGTGGACACGAAAGAGGGAAAAGTAACCCTAAAATGACCACCACAGCAAACAGATCTGTGACCTCAGATCAATGAGATCTGATGGGAGGGAATGGCAGGTCCAGGCAGAAGCTGTGGCCATCAGGGGAACCATTCTGTTGGAGTGAGGTAGGTGGTTCTTATGTCAGCTCAGCAGCCACAAAGCTGGTCTCTTGCAGCCAGCGTGCCCAGGAGGGGGCTGGTCTCTTCCCGGGAGGCTACATCCAATCTCTGATCTGCTTTTTTACCATGTAATGTCAGATGATCTTGGCAGAAACGACTATGCAAACACATTTGACTGTGTGGATCACAATACACTGTGGCTGAGACAGAGAAGAATGGGATTCCCAGAACATGTGCTCATGCGAAACCTGTACTCGACCAGGAAGCAGTTCTCAGAGTAGCAAGGAAACACTGCACGGTTCAAAATGAGGAAAGGCGTGTCAAGGACCTGTCCTGTCTCCATACCTTTCCAAATCTATAATGGAACAGGGAGGCTGGGCTTTATGAGGAGGAATGTATCATCAGGATTGGAGGAAGACTTGTCAAAAACCTGTGATTATGTAGATGACACAACCTTGCTTGCTCAAACAAAGGACCTGAAGCATCTGCTACAGAAAATCAAGGACTTTAGTCTTCACTAGGGATTGAAGCGCTACATCAAGAAGAGAAAGATTCTCACCACTGGGCCAACTGGCAGCACCGTGATAGATGGAGAAGAGACTAAAGTTGTGAACAATTTCACTTGCTCAGCTCCACAACCAACACTCTTGGCCCCAGCAGTCAGAAAATCTAGACAAAGTGCACTGGGAAAATCTGCAGTTATAGGGACCTCTCCAGAGTATAGAGAAACAAAGATGTCAATCATGGTCTTCACAATTACTTGCTATGCATTAGAGAGCTGGACGATGACTAAGGATGACAGAAGAATCAATGCCTTTAAGTTGTGGTGCTGGAGAACAGTACTCAAAATACCATGGGCCACCAAGACAACAAACAGGTCTGTCTTGGAGAGGGTGAAACCAAGTTTCTCCTTGGAGGCTAGAATCCTGAAGCGAAGTATGTCACACTTACTTTGGGCACCTGGTCAGGAGGGACTGGTCCTTGGAGAAGGACGTCATGCTCGGAAGGGTGGAGACAGCAAGGAGAGAATGACTCCAGATGATCTGACACGGTAATGGAGGTAGGTATGGTGGAGCCAGTGAAACTGGCTCAGGACAGGGCAGGCTTTCAGAGCCGTTGTACATAGGATCTCTGTGAGTCACAGGCAACTCGATGGCACATAACCACAAAATGGACACACCTGCTCATGTCCACTGCCTGTGTTGAGTCCTTCATTGATTCGTTTCAGGTTCGTCTTCCCAAGCCTCACTTGATTCCCTCCTGACATTCTGGAATGTCCACTTAGTAGCCACCTTGGAGATGTCTAAGAAGTCCTGCTGCTGGTGTCACAGTTAAAGAGCTTGGTTAACCTCAAGGTCAGCCATTTCTGTGCACCAACTCTGAGGGAGAAGATAAAGGTCTATCTCTGTCACTGCCTCACTGTGACCCCACATACAGGACCAAAACCTGGTCCCCTCCTGACGCTCCACTGTGCTAACCCTCACCATCATGTTCACTGGTTGGCACGTCCAGGGGGGTCTTCCTCTCCACAGCTGTCTACTTTCTCAAGTGTCATACTAGAGCCTAAAAACCGTAGGCAGGTCCACCCTGTCCTGCGGGGTCATCACAGTCATTCCCAGAACCAGACAGCAATAGCTGAAAAGTAAACACTCCCATCAGGTGCCGTCAGAGCCTGGCCAAGGCCTGCACTTCTCCCCAGGCACCCAGCTGGTGGCCCATCAGCCCTTGTCAAGTTTCTGGCTTCCTCTTCCTGTTAAAGCAGCTGGGCCTACTTTTTGCTCCACCAGTTGATGTCTTGTTGTTGTTAAGTGCCGTCAAGTCGCTTGCGACTCATAGCGACCCTATGTACAACAGCTCTAAACGGTTTTGTCCTTTGCCAATCTCATTGTCTCCGACACATTCATCCCGATTACCCCAGTCACCAAATTAATCCATCTTCTAGAGGCCCTTCCCCTCCTGCGCCTGCCCTCCACCCTCCCAAGCACGATATCCTTCTCCAAGGACCAGTCTCTCCTTACAACATGACCAAAGTATGTTAGATGGAGCCTCAGAATCCTTAACTCCAAGGAGCCGCCTGGTTTAACCCTCTCCAGGTAGAATCTGTTTTCTTAGCAGTCCATGGTCCCCTCAATACTCTTCTCCAGCACCACAGCTCAAAGGCATCCCTCAATTCTCCTTCTATCCTCCCTTGCGATTGTCCAACTCTCTGATGCGTAATATGTGATTACAAAGACCATGGCCTGTATCAGATGCACCTTAGTCTCCAGAGAGACACCGCTGCTCTTCAGTACTT